TGCTAGGTCGGGCATTGGACTTGTTTGAAAAACAAGCCCACAGGCCCAAAGTGGAGTCCCTTATGCTAAGTCTCACATCACCAGACTTAATTACAATATCCACTCTCCCAGAATCTTAAACCAGTCAACAGAAATCACCTGACCAGCACTAGTGAGACCCCTGATAGATCCCTGCCTTCTCCTAAAGGAAGGTGACCTTGCAATAACCAACCCACTTTTTTGCCTCTTATAACCTCCTTGTTCCTGCTCCCTTCTGCCTATAAAAGTCCTTCATTTTTATTTTTATTTTATTTTTTTGCGTTACGTGGGCCTCTCCCTGTTGTGGCCTCTCCCGTTGTGGAGCACAGGCTCTGGACGCGCAGGCTCAGCAGCCATGGCTCACAGGCCCAGCCACTCCGCGGCACATGGGATCTTCCCGGACCGGGGCACGAACCCGTGTCCCCTGCATCGGCAGGCGAAAAGTCCTTCATTTTGTACTGCTCCTCTGAGCTCCTTTCTATCTGCTAGATTGGATGCTGCCCAATTTGAATGATATTATGCTCAAATAAACTCTTAAAAATTTTAATATGCCTTAGTTTATTTTGCAACAGAAACACAGAAATGAACAAGGTAGGTGCAACATTATTTTTGAGGGTCACCTAGGCCACTGCAATGACTTTCTATATATTTTGGCCATGAGCATGTAAGAAATACATATTCAGGAATTCCCTGACGGTCCAGTGGTTAGGACTCTGTGCTTCCACTGGCTGGGGCCCGGGTGTGATCCTTGGTAGGGGAAGAGCGAGACCAAGAAAAAGAAAATGAGTTACAACTAACTTTTTTTAAAAAAAGGGCTTCCCTGGTGGCACAGTGGTTAAGAATCTGCCTGCCAGTGCAGGGGACATGGGTTTGAGCCCTGGTCCCAGAAGATCCCACATGCCGCGGAGCAACTAAGCCCATACGCCACAACTACTGAACCTGCGCTCTAGAGCCTGTGAGCCACATCTACTGAGCCTGTGTGCCACAACTACTGAAGCCTGCATGCCTAGAGCACATGCTCTGCAACAAGAGAAGCCACTGCAATGAGAAGACTGTGCAGTGCAACGAAGAGTAGCCCCCGTTCGCTGCAGCTAGAGAAACACCGTGCAGCTACGAAGACCCAGCGCAGTCAAAAATAAATAAATTAAAATAAATAAATTTTAAAAAAAAGAAATACATTTTCATTGTGGCCCAACACACACACAAGGGAAACACAGGTTCCATGAGATAACACGTACCCTTACTCCATGTGATGTACTCTGCTATTTTCTGTTTTGTTCTTTTTTGTTAAAAATGCTGGTTGAGGCCTTCTCTGGTGGCGCAGTGGTTGCGAGTCCGCCTGCCGATGCAGGGTACATTAGGAGTTGGCTGGGCTCCCTTCAACTTTTTTTTTCCCTTTTTTCTCTTTTTTGGCCACACGGCGCAGCTTGAGGGATCTTAGTTCCCTGACCAGGGATCGAACCCAGGCCCCTGGCAGTGAGAGCACAAACTCCTAACCACTGGACTTCCAGGGAATTGCCAGGGCTCCTGTCAACTTTGATTGCAGACGTGGGGAGTTAGGGACCTAGAACTACCCACATATAGTCTGCCCCCTCCCTAAGGCCCCACATTCAAGAGTAGCAGGGGCTACTCTTCATTGCGGTGCGCGGGCTTCTCATTGCAGTGGCTTCTCTTGTTGCAGAGCATGTGCTCTAGGCACGCAGGCTTCAGTAGTTGTGGCACACAGGCTTAGTAGATGTGGCTCACAGGCTCTAGAGCACAGGTTCAGTAGTTGTGGTGCACGGGCTTAGTTGCTCCGCGGCATGTGGGATTTTCCTGGACCAGGGCTCGAACCCGTGTCCCCTGCATTGGCAGGCGGATTCTTAACCACTGCACCACCAGGGAAGTCCCTTCACTCTTTATTTTGTTTTATTTATTTAAAAAAAATCTTTGGCCGAACCACGCAGCGTATGGGATCTTACTTAGTTCCCCGACCAGGGATCGAACCTGTACCCCCTGCAGTGGAAGTAAGGAGTCTTAACCGCTGGACTGCTGAGGAAGTCACTCTTCTTTTCACTCTTTAAATGCGAGTTCTCTTCTTGTCTCTTCTCTCCACCCCAGGCAATCTCACTCCTGGCCCCGGCCTCAAAGACTAGTAGTCTCTATGTTACAGAGGCCAGTGTTCCTGTCTGCTTCTCTCCCAGATCATACCCTTCAGACGGGTGTCACAGAGACACACCCAAACTCAACTCATTGTCTTCTACCTGAACCTACAACTCCTGTGTCTCCAGCGTTAAAAGTGAAAGGCCTAATCATTCATTTGCATGATTATTCAGGCCAGAATTCTGGGCATCACTCGTGATGCTTCTCTCCCCCTCCTTCCACAAATTACCCATCAAGCACTAACTTCTGCTGATTTGTGTGGCAGCCTAGGGAATGGTCAAGTGCATGAATCCTTAGGGCCAAACAGTCTGGGTTCAGATCCTGACACTGCCACATTCTAGCAGTGTAAGTTTGGACAAGTAACTTAACCTCTCTGTGCTTCAGTTTCCTCATCTATAAAGTGGGCATAATAATAGCACCTATACCTCAAAGGATTGCAATGAGATTTAAATGAGTTACTCTTGGACTTCCCTGGTGGTGCAGTGGTTAAGAATCTGCCTGCCAATGCAGGGGACATGGGTTCGAGCCCTGATCCGGGAAGATCCCACATGCTGCGGAGCGTGGAGCAACTAAGCCTGTGCGCCACAACTACTGAGCCCGTGTGCCACAACTACTGAAGCCCACGTGCCTAGAGCCCATGTTCCGCAACAACAGAAGCCACCGCAATGAGAAGCCCGCACGCCGCAATGAAGAGCAGCCCCCATTCACCGCAACTAGAGAAAGACCGCGTGCAGCAACGAAGACCCAACGCAGCCCAAAATAAATAAATTTATGTTTTAAAAAATGAGTTACTCTTCATAAAGATGTACACACTTCATACTACACAGGCATTTGTTGACTAAAATAAACTCTATATTCTAAGTATCTCTTGGACTGGTCCCAAGCTACCGTTATCTCTGCACCGTCTTACTGCCCTGACCTAATCGGTCTCGCTGCATCCAATCCCTGCTCTCTTCCAATCCCTCTACACATCCAAGCCAGGGTCACCTTTTCAAAATGCAAATATGATGCTAATACTTAACACTCTTCAATGGTTTCCTACTGTATAGCCCGCACTCCTTAGCAGGCTGGCAAGGCCTGTGAGATCGGGTCCTCACTCGCCTGTCTGGGCTCATCTTCGCCACTGAACAGTCTGGCCTCCCACATATCCGAAAGCAGACTAGGGAGTTGCTTCCTTATAATCTGTAAGAGCTGAGTAATCAAAACTGTCCTTTCATTGACAGGAAGTGGACATTGCGCCCAATGGAGCCCAGTTTGTGCCAGGCCACATTCTTGGCTCCCTGAGCACCTGCCATGCCCATTTGCTTCCTGATTCCTTCATTCAGGAAGGATTTATTTCTTTATTTGTAAATAAATTTGTAAATATAGGTTGGGTGATGTGGGACACCCAGAGATAAATCCTACCCAGCTTGGCTTGCTCTGGGCCAGGCCCTCTTCTATGTGCTTTACCTGAATTAACTGATTTCCTGTGAGGTATGTACTATATTCAGCCCCATCTTACTAGTGAGGAAATAGAAGCACAGGGAAGTTAACTACTGTGCCCCAGGTTTTACAGCTAGTAAATCAAAGAGGCTTCTTGGTTCCAGAGTCTTGAGAAGGTTTGTGAGGCTGAGCGTTATAAGAACTTGATAGACTTCAGAGACAGGAGCAATCACATTTGCTTAGTGGGAGTCCAATGCGAATGCAGAATAAAAAGTTTATGTGTCTCACAGTTTACAGTGTGGTTTTACATGGATCATATCATTTTACATGGATTATATCACTTAACCAGGGATTACAGCAGTACAGACTTTTGGTAAACAGAACAAGGTCAAGAATCAGATAATCTCATATTTCTTTCCCAGCCCTGTCACATACAGGGTAGGTGTTTTAGGGCCTCTTTTTGTGCCTCAATTTCTCATTTGTAAAGGGGGTATGATAAAACAATATACGTCATGCCATTGTGAGGATTAAATGAGATAATAATGCCCTTAGCACAGTGCCTGGCAAGTAGCAAATGCTAAAAATAATAATAATAACAATAATAAGATGCTGGCTTATTTTATTGGACACAGGTGATGTACCAAATACGTTCTGGGCCTCTTAAGCCTCACAAGAGCTCTGCAAGGTTTTGTCCTTATTGTACAGTGAAGAGCACGTGCTGACTAGGTGTCAGGTATTGTTCTAAAGCACTTTGCTGACTCAATCCTCACAACAATCCCAGGGGTAGGTACTACCTATTATAATCCTCTTTGTACAGAGGGGGAAACTGAGCATAAATTAAATAAGTTGGTCAAGTTCACAGCCAGCAAGAGAAGCAACCAGGCAGTTTACTTCCAAGGTCCGTACTCTTAACCATCTTCCCTTTCAACAACAGGTGAAGAAACAGGCTCAGAAAGTGAAGAGATCCCCACTCCTAAAAAGGAGCGCTGAACTATTTTCCAACCCAGGGATTATCACTATGTCCAGCAGATGGCGCGCCAGGACATAGCAAGCTGTGGGAATTCGCAAACGCGGTCAAAACTACCATACCCACAATGCAGTGCGGATATTAAGGGGCCACCTGCCAGTTTAGCTGTCTGAGGCACTGCCTGTGTGCTCTCCAGGAGGAACGTGTGTATCTGAGACATTCGGGTCCTTCCTCAATCTTAAGGTAGCAAGTTAAAAGTTTTTTCCGCTTCATCTCATCCTCCTTGTCTTACTAGTTGGAGAGCGGAAGGATGAATCAACGCTGCTATTTGTTGGCTTCATCTGCCTTACCCTAACGTGAGGACCCTTGACCTTTAACCCAAGGTGGCGGCGCCAGGATCCTTAGCTCTTGCTGTGGACCTGAGGTGATCTAAGGCCGGGCACTCGGCCTCATGTCGAGGATAAGCCGGGCCACTCGGGCCCTCAGGAAGCCCGAGGCCGGCGGCGTGATCCGGACCATCGTGCGGGCAGGCCAGGCCATGCCCGGGCCCCCACTAGGCCCCGTCCTGGGTCAGGTGAAGCCGCGGCAGGAAGCTGGCGTGGGAGGCGTCGGAGGGTGGGAGCTAGTACCCGGGTGGCGGGTGCGGGCTGGGCCACAGCGGCCTCGGTTTAAAACGCGGCTCTGCTGCCCACACGTTGTATGTCCTTGGGTTAGTTACACAGCCTTTTCGAGGTTCAGCTTCCTCTGTTCTTCGTCCACGAGCTGTTGTAAGGATAGAGAGGCATGAAACATACGAATCGTCTGGCACAGAAAATAGTAGTTGGATCTGGGTAGAGAAAAGAGAATGGGAGCTTAGGGAAGTAAAGACGGAGGAGAGAATGGATGGAGCCTCCGGGGGAAAGGAAGCCGTCCCTTCTTCTGCACGCTGACCCCTATGCCTCCCTCACAGCGAGGCGTTTCCATCAACCAGTTCTGTAAGGAGTTCAATGAGAAAACCAAGGACATCAAAGAAGGCATTCCTCTGCCTACCAAGATTTTTGTGAAGGTGAGGAGTCGGGACTCTGATCCCCAGTTTCCTTCTCATTCTCCCCAGGCCCTGGAGCTGGTCACCTGGGGTTGCTACTCTGCTCATAGCTTGGGGCAAGTGTTTTCCTGTTACCCGGCCCCACTTTCCCCATTTATACAGTAGAGACTAGGCCATATGTTTCCTGAACCCGCGTTGCCATATTGCAGATCTTTCCTTTGTTCCTCCAACTTGCTGGGGCTTCCAGAGCAGAGTTGGACCTGGAATAGAAGCGACAGGGACGTTTGTTGCAGATTTGTTTCTTCTGTGGTTTTGTTGTCAGTTAAAGGGAAGGAAGGTGAGCTGAGGGAAGGGGGGACAGGAAGTTAGAAGTTCCCTGGGCTGGGGCAGCAGGGGTTGGGGGAGGTGGGAAGAAAGATTCTCATGTGTCTTTTTTCCTTTCAGCCTGACAGGACATTTGAAATCAAAATTGGCCAACCCACTGTTTCCTACTTCCTGAAGGCAGCTGCTGGGATTGAGAAGGGGGCCCGGCACACAGGTAAGGGGCAGGGTGGGCATCTGGGCTTCTGGGCTCTGGAAGGAAGCAGTGACACCTGAAGGGCTATTTGTTCCTTGCTCCCAGGGAAAGA